AAAACCCCCAAACACGTATGTCCGATGAAGCTGGCAAGAGCTCTAACGCAGGGCACCCAGGAGAGGTGAGGTCAGGGGATGGGCGGGAAGGGCTGGGAAAACCTTGAACAGAGCCTGCGTGCACGGGTGACAGGGAGGTTGGGAGTAAGTGCTGGCACGGGAGGGTGAGCTCGGGGCCTTCCCTGACCTCAGTAAGTGTGTGCCCCATTGACCTGGCTCAATTCCTGCCCAGCACAGACCGCCACCTCCCTGAGGTCAGGTGTCCAGACAGTGCCAGGCCCTGGCTGGGCCTCTGGGAGTTCACCTCATGCATTTACTTATCCACTAGACAGTATTTGCTGAGCTCCTGCTACAGACCAGGCACTTGCGCTTGGCCTTGGGGAGCCGCCGGCACAGGAAGACTGAGCTTGTGGGCAGACTATCCGCGGAAATAACCGCTGGCATCCACTGGGGTCTCAGGTGCAGGCCACTGTTCCTGGAGCCCAGCTGATCTCATGCAATGTTGGGAACATCCCTATGAGACAGGTGACAAGTTATTCCAGGAGCCTCCTCAGCTGAAGTCAGGGAAAACCCAGCAAGAGCGTTTTTTGCCAGAGCTAAGGATGGGAGAGCAGTGGTTGTGTTAGGGGCAGAGAAAAGAGGTTTCTAGGTATGTAGAGCAGCAAATGCAGAGATGCTGAGAACAGGGCCCTGGTTATCCGGGTGGGCTTCCATATCACCAGGACGTGGGTCCTCGGCTCCTTCCAGCACAGAGCAAGGATGACCGTGGGCCATTAGCCCACAGGTACCAGCCCACCATCCTTGCAGGGCTTCAAGACCCCTGGCTCCTCCAGTACCGCTTCCCGGGAGCAGGGCCTCTACCTGGAACCTTCCAGAAGGTCACACGGTCCCTGAACTGCCCAGCCACTGGCCCCAGTCTCTTCTCTCTCCTTTGAGGCTTTGCCCTCAGCAGGTTCCTCCCCACCCCCCAGCCGCTGCTGGTCTCCTCCCGGCCCAGTGCCCGCCCACCCAAATTGTGCCCAGCGCGCATGCGCCCCAGCGCCTGCCGCTCAGATTGGCCCCAGATCCTGTGGTGGTCCCTGCTGGCATCTTTGTGCCTAGATGCTCCAAACCGGCCAGCGAGTGTCCGATTCAGTCTCGTAGCCCTCACCGGGCTCGCACTGCGGCCGCTGGTACTTGCCATATGTGGGGTCGATCCCAGGGCCATCTCCGACTAACCTGGCTGGGTGCCCCAGGGAAATTACTTAACTTCTCTGAACCTTGCCTTTTTCATCTGTACAAAGGACGCCCCCAGCGTGGCCTCCCTGGATTGTTTTGAGGATTAACTGAGATAAGGTGTGTGGTGTTGGGCCTACCAAGTGGTCACTGTCACTCTGCAGTATCTTGGTCCTTGCTGTGTCTCTACTTAGGTGTGTTCTGAGGTCTTGTTGCTCTCATTTCTCTTCCCTCTCTACCTCTTTGTCATTCCTCTTCTGGGTCTTTTTTTTTTTTTTTTTGAGACAGAGTCTCACTTTGTTGCCCTGTTGCCCAGGCTAGAGTGAGTGCTGTGGCGTCAGCCTAGCTCACAGCAACCTCAAACTCCTGGGCTCAAGCAATCCTCCTGCCTTAGCCTCCTGAGTAGCTGGGACTACAGGCATGCGCCACCATGCCCTGCTAATATTTTCTATATATATTAGTTGGCCAATTAATTTCTTTCTATTTATAGTAGAGACGGGGTCTCACTCTTGCTCAGGCTGGTTTCAAACTCCTGACCTCAAGCAATCCGCCCGCCTCAGCCTCCCAGAGTGCTAGGATTACAGGCGTGAGCCACCGTGCCTGGCCTTCCTCTTCTGGGTCTTTCACAGTGTGTTTCTCTCCACGTCCCTCTGTCTGCTGTGCTAGCTTTCTCATGGCACACTTTGAGGAGGTGGCAGCTGGAACTCCTTGCCCCCTGTGCCTCGGAGTGGGGCTGGCAGGAGATGGGGTGATAGCATTGGGCAGAGGGTAAAGCCAGGTGCTCCCCGGCCTCTGGTGCCTGCTCTCACTGTGTTCTGCCCACGTGTGGGTGTCAGTGCTGAGGTTTCCTGCCAGCCCTAGGCTTGGAGATGTGGCCTGGAAAGAGGTTGGGAGGACTGGTCTCCCCAGCCAGCAGGTGCCTGCCTGCTCTGCTGCTGGTCACCCAAACCATACCTGGCGCAGAGCTGGCCTGGGGGGAGCCTGGATTGCCCTTTCCACCAGGACCAGCTAGCTCCATCATTTGCAGGGCCTGGTGCAAAAAACACAAGGCCCCTTAAAAAATTACGAAGTTCGGTCTGGGCATGGTGGCTCATGCCTGTAATCGTAGCACTTTGGGAGGCTGAGGACAAAGGATTGCTTCAAGCCAGGAGTTCAAGACCAGCCTGAGCAACATAACAAGACCCTGTCTCTACAAAAAATTTAAAAATTAGCCAGATGTGGTGGCACACACCTGAAGTCCCAGCGACTCAGGAGGCTGAGGCAGGAGGATCTCCTGAGCCCTGGAGTTGGAGGTTGCAGTGAGCTATGGACGATGCCACTGCCTGGGTGACAGAGTGAGACCTGTCTCAGAAAAAAAAAAAGTTCAGGATGGTGACAGCAGAGCCTAAAAGCAAGCTGGGGCCCTTTGGAGTGTGCAGGTTCCTATGTGACTGCATGGCCATTCACCACATTTAGCAAATCTCCTCATCCCTCACTTCTGGGACGGATGGGGGTAGAGCTACCTAAGGCTAGCTCCAACTTCCAAGAGCTGGAAATGGCATGGGGGAGGACGCTCAGGAGGGCACGAGAGAGCTGGGGCAGAGGCTCCAGCGTCCCTGCTCTGCCACTGAGCCGAGGACTGGCACTTCACCTCTCTTGAGTCTTGGCTTTGTCATCTATGAAGACACCTGCCTAAAAAACAAAACAAAACAAAATAAAGACACCTGCCTCACGGGGGTGGGGCAGGGGTTCGAGTGTGAGATGCGCTCGCGTGCATACAGGCTGGGTAGGCCAACTCTGCAGCTTGTCTCAGGGTTTCACTAGCCACGTCACTGCGCAAATTGTTCTATGTGTATAACTCAGTTGCTCAGCTTTAAAGTGGGGAAAAAGTAAGGTGGTTGGGAGTACATGAGTTACTACGTGTCAAGTGCTTAGAACAGTGGCCAACACTCAGTAAGGCCCATTAGAGGTCAGCTGTGATCACGATGTTACTGCCTATGAAAGGCACACAGAATGTCCAGGTTAACTCCTGATTGGGGGACAAACAGAAAAGGCTTCTGGGAGAGGTGCTTGAAGGATAGGCTTTAACGCTTGCGGTGAGGATGGCATAGCCTAAACACAGCAAGCCTAGGAACCAGAGATGTCCAGTCTGAGGCCCTCTTAGAAGCACCTATGTGCCAACCATTTTACAAAAGGCAGCAGCGGTATGAGTTTACTGAGCTTATTTGTTTTATTCCAGAGACACGGTTTTGCTCTGTTGCCAAGGCTGTGGTACAGTAGCATCACCATAGTTCACTGCAACCTTGAATTCCTGGGCTCAAGCGATCCTCCTGCCTTATCGTCCTGAGTAGCTGGGACTACAGGTGCATACCACCATGTCCGGCTAATTTTTTTCAAATTTTTGTAGAGATGAGAGTCTCGCTGTGTTGCTCAGGCTGGCCTTGAACTCCTGCATTCTAGTGATCCTCCCACCTCAGCTTCCCAAAAGTGCTGGGATTACAGGCTGTGAGCCACTGTGCTCAGCTCTGGTTTGCTGAGTTTAGACATGGCTCCAGAGGGTTGCTGAAAATTTTTGTGTATGTCATACATAGAGGATTAATTCATAGCTGAATGAAGGAAATAGGCAAAAAAAAAAAAAGGAAAAAAAAAGGCTTATAGTATTGACACAAGAAGAGAAAAATGTATGGAGTAGGGGAGCAAATGGTGAGTGACGAAGCCCGAGGGCCTGGCAGCCTTCGTGGGCCACACTGACTTTATCCTGAGCTGAACAGACTGAAGGGTTTTTAAGCAGGGGAGGGTAGTTGTCACACCTATCTTTTAACAGAACCATTCTGGCTGCCAACATGGAGGACAAGGGGTTGGACCAGAGGCTGGGAGGCCACTTGGGGCTGTTGCTTTGGTTGAGGTTGTAGACAATGGTTCTGCTTCCACTAGGGTGGCAGGGACGAGGTTACTAAGAGGCAGATGGGTTTCTGAGATATTTAGGAAGTAAAATTGACACTCTTACTTCTCTGGTGACATCCAAACGTGGTTGCATCCATATCCACCCTCAGGAAAGCAACATGAAATTAGTCCATTGTCCAAGGCTCTGTTTCTAGGCCAAGCAGCAGAACTGGAGATGGTCTATAACTATCAGTTCAGGGAGCAGGCTGGGCTGGGACCCCTCAGTTCCTCTACAGATAGTGAGGAAAGCCTGTTTAGGACCTTCCAGACAGGACCTCAGCCCTCTTGAAATGTGGCAGTTCTCTGGCAGCACCTGGCACACGTTTAAAGGCTGGAAGCTCATACTCAACATACCAAGTGAGGACAAGCGGTGGGATGAGGTGGGACACATGTGTCAGAGCCGGTCTGGCCCAGACCCCGAGTGGCGACTTTGCTGCAGCTTTAGTGGGTGGAGGCTGGCCTTGGCTAATGGCCTGGCAGCAGCAGGGACGGAAACTCAGAAACCCCCAGGCCTGTTCTCAGCAGCGCACACTGACTGGGACACCTCTGCAGGGCTGCTCCCAGCACTGCCTTTTTGGAGAGGAGAGATCAGATAATCTTACACCTACATTTTTTACATCCATTAAAAAGTTCATCTTGATGAAGCAAATGTTGTATTTCTAGAAGCAAGTGCTGCTTTTTAATGTTAAAAAAGCTAAGGAAATCCAAGTAGTATAGACATTCCACAGTTCTACAGCCTCTGCTCAGAGGGGGGAGCAGGCAGTCCTTGGCCTTGGCCTCTCATTTGCACACACACACACACACACACACACACACACACACACACACACACATCCTAAGGCACAAAAAGCTTAGTTTTTGTGTTTAAAGTCTTTTTATCAAAAAAAGACCCTCCCGCCAAAAAAACTCAAACGGAAATCAAAATATTTCCCACTGGAGGCTACTTTGTCTTTTAAAAATTTTATTACACAAATATCTCCCACTCCCACGTGTCAGAGGAAAGATGTCCTTGCTCTTTCTAAAACCAATAATGGAGAACTTTTAGAAAATAAAGTCCAATAAGCTTCCCTCCTTCCCTGGCCCAAAATAACCCCAATGTGTCAACTGAGATAGCTTATCCCCTTAATGCTTACATTTAATTTAAATTTTTTAGCACAACATTGGAGACTGACTCTAAATCAGCAACAAAAAATATATATTTACAATATTTCTCGGAAAAACAAAAAACACAACCAAAACCTTTAAACATAGTGACTTTAGGAGTTTTATTTATGGAGCAGTTATTTTTTTAATCACCAAGTGATTTTATATTATATATATATAAATTTTCTTCCTTTCCTTTGTGGTTTTTCGCCCCGGTGCTTGGAAAGATGGAGGCAGGGGTCTGGTCCTGCAGTCTGAGGAGGGCAGGCTCTCCTGGCAAGGCCGTATCTAAGAGCAGATTGTAGGAAATGTGATAGACTCCCCAGGTTACTCTGTTCCCCAACGGAGACACTTCTTTCCTCCACATGGACCGACCCTTACCTCTAAAACCATTCCCCTCGTAGTCCCAAAGAAAAGTAAGACCCAGCAAGGGCACTGTCCATCCGCTGCCACTCCTGGGCTCCCTTTTCTGCTGACCAATTTACGTGCACGGTAAAAATGCTTGTTTTTCCAAGCCGAAAAACAAACAAACATAAAAACCAAAACCCAAAACAAACCATCAGCTTGGAAATTTCTGTGGATGAAATGTCCCAAAGTCAGAGGCACTCTCCCGGCACAATCCCTGCTCTGAAGGGGTCTCTCCACCTCCCCTTTTATAAAAAGACAACAAAACAAAACGAAGTAATCTTTTCAGTATTTTCCACAGGAGCAACCAAAAAAAAGGCAGGAAGCTTCCAATTATAGGTCATTAACAATAATATTAATAAGGTTTTTGCTCAATACCCAGGGTTCTTTACAGAGAAGTCCCCCAACTGAGGCACTCTGGAATGAGTCACTGGCACTTCCTCAAAGTTTCAACCCCACATCACTGGGCCTGTAGACCAGGGAGGGGCAGAGGGTCGTGGGAGCAGACTGCTGTTTGTAAGGTGCAGCCAAGAGAATCAGCAGATTGGAAGAAACAGACAAAATGCCACCCGCTACCAGGACCCAACTTCCTCTAAGGCGGCCAGTTAATGCCAGGGTCAAAGCTGGGCTAGGTGGCAAAGAGGGGACCCCTCTGCCTCTATTGCTTTGGAAGTGGCAAGGGTGCAGTTGGCGTCTCTCCTCTGGGTGGCTCACACTTCAGACCCCTGGTGCCTGGGTTCTGTCCCTTTGCCCCACAGGGCTTCAGGAGGAGGAAAGCCTAAGACTGGGCTACAGGAAAGGGGCCAGGAAGGGATGGGGTTGGAGGACAAGAAGGCGGGGGCAAGGTTGTGCTATCAGTATCCTTATAGATGGGGAGCAGAGTGCAAATTTGCATCTATCATGAATAAGCTCTTGCCACAGGCTGCTGCTACTGAGCATCTCCTCACACACTTAAATATTGACCCAAAAGAAATTCCGACCTTTCTTTCTTTCCTTTTTTTTTTTTTAAAGTGCAAAAAGCTCTCTGCTGCCCTAGAGAGAGGATCTTTGGACAGGCCGTTCAATGCAAAGTAAAAGGGGGCAGCTGATGGGGTTCGACAAAGGGTGGTGGAACGGAGACACCATGCTCCCTCCCAACCTCCCTCCTCACACACGCGGAACACACTCAGCCACACACACAGAGGCACATGCACACCCCCTTCCATGGCTGCAGGCAGAGGGCAGGTGACTGGCTTCTAAGCAGGACCCCCTCCCCCCCAAAGGTGCCAGATCAATGAGCTGCTGGGGCTGTACACAGGCCTGGGCTCTGGGGGGCTACCCTAAACCAGAGGTCTGTAGGAGCCTGGCCCGGAGGCAGGTGGAGACTTGGCCCAGTCCTCTGCTCCCCCGAGTTGGGGGGAGACAGGCTGCTCCCTCTGAGGACATGCATCCTGGGAAAGCCCTATTCAGGCAGGAATGAGGACATGTGGAAAAGGGCAGTCAGGGGAGGCAAAAGAGAAAGGGGAAACAAGGAGATGGTGCCTGTCTCAGAATCCGTCTGGGTAGCAATGGAATGGGTGTGTCCCTGGGGTAGACAGTTCTAGCTCCTCTGAAGAGCTTCAACCCCAATAAGTGCAATAAGGACCTCAAAGAGACTAGCAGGGAAGTCTGGGGTAGGGTTCGGTGGGAAACGTCATTATGTGAATGAGCATGAACGCTGGACAGAATCAAGCTAAGGGGAGAGGACAGGAGGGAGAGCACAGACACGAACGTGAGGCTGGGGACACCTCAAAAGCACCAGTGTGATCTGCACGGGTCTGGAATTCCTGGGGCTGCCAGCCCCTCCTGCATAAGCCGGGAGAGTGTGATGGAGGAGAGACACGCACTGGACACCACAAGGAGAACCTGGCCGTGGATACAGGGCTGCTTTCTTCCCTGGGAGTTGCTCAGAACCAGGCACTGCTGGGGACCATGGGTGGGGATGAGGGGCCCAGGGCCCGGTGCAGATGAAAGTTGCACGAACACCCCAAACTGAGAGCCCAGCCTCTTAACAGGTGAGCAAGCAAGCAGGCACCTCGACAGCACAGCCTGTGCTTTCCCCTCGAATCAATTTGCTACTCCCTTTTTCTCAGGAGGGACAGGAGCAGGCAGATAAGCCTGGTGTCCACCACCCTCTCTGCCCCACCTGTAGAGGAAGGGCTCAAGGGACAGGAGGGCAGAGGGAGTGTGACGCTGGCCTCAGAGCCCGTGCAGGGTCGGGGAGAGAGGTTCTCCTCGATGGGGAGTCAGGGGAAGATCGGTTTCCTGTTCAGTCTGGCCTAGGTGTGTCTTAGCTGATCTTCTGTATCAGCTTCTCATCAGACAGGCAGTAGAGGCTGTTGATGGACAAGTCTGAGATGAAGTGCTCGCAGGCTTTTCGAGTGATCTGCTTGCATCCTCGAAGGTCAATCAAGGTGACGTTGGCGATGCGCCGTAGGTAGATCAGGGTCTGGTCTGTCAATTTATTGCAACCTGTCGGTAGAGTGGCCACAAGAACAATACTCACATACCCACAGCCAGAGAAACCTTCCTCTGCCATTCAATTCCCCCAGCACTCTTTCCCTCAAAATGCTGAACAAAAGCCCTCTTTGTCCCATAACTACCTGGCTCAGAGACCAGAAGTGCCATCAGCAATGTGGCCTCTAAAGGGCCCCTGCTGTCTCATGTCCATTGCCACGTGACACAAGCACAAGCGCTGCAAGGTGATCAAACTGCAGGTGGATGGTGGCTGTACAAGTAAGCACCTGACTTAACCACTGCAGGCCTCACACCCGTCTGTTAAAAAAAAGGGACAGAGGCTGTGTGCAGTGGCTCAAGCCTGCAACCCCAAGACTTTGAGAGGCCAAGGCAGGAGGACTGCTTGAGGTCAGGAGTTTGAGACCAGCTTGGGCAACAACAAGACTGTCTCCACAAAAAATCTAAAAAATCAGGTGTGCATGTGAAGTCCTAACTACCTGGCTAGCTGAGGCAGGAGGATCACTTGAGCCCAGGAGTTTCAGGCTGCAGTGAGCTATGATTGCATCACTGCACTCCAGCCTGGACAATAGAGTGGGACTCTGTTTATTATGGAAGACAGCACAGCATACCTGCCATGTTAAGCTCTGTGAGGGAGTAACGTGTGGAAGACCCGACAGCGGTGAGTAGGTTGGAGGACTGATCTGTAAGGTGGCTGCAGTGACTGAGGTCGAGTCGAGACAGAAGGGGCATGTGGCGAATGATGAGGCGAAGTGTGGCATCCGTGATGTCAAGGCCTGCCAGCCGGAAGTCAGTCATGTTCCGGAGCTTGCTGCGATTGTCCTGACCTGCACAGGCAAGAAAAGAGACAACATCGAAACTCTAATTCTCTAATCCAGCTCCAAAGCTCCAGGCAGCATCAGCTACTTGCTGGCCAGGCCTCCTTGAAGGGGTTAAACAGAGCTGCCCACACCCAGCCCTGCCTCCAGGGAGTGAGCAGTGTGCGTGGGGGCAGTTTCTAGGAAACCAGACAAGTTTTCTTTCTTCTGAAGCTGCCAGATTACGCCTCACATACACAGCAAAAGGCTATGTGCGAAACGCTCCTCCCCTTCCCGCACCCTCACACTCTTCTAGGCCATCATGCAATCGGCTTTTGATGTTCCACCTCAATCATGAAGCCATCCCAGCTTTCCTCAGTCTTATACTCTCTGGGCCCCGAACTCCACTGACACACAAAATGGACTTACTCCTTTGTTTGTAGGGAGTTATCTATGTGTCAATAGTAAACCTGTAACTGGACACAGTCCATCATTCTGTTCTCATTTTGTATTCTTCTGTTGTTCCACAGCATCATTTCTGAGACTACCTTAGCTTCTGAGGACAAGGTCTGTCAAAGACAAAGCTACCCCAGGACGAGCACAGAGAAGTCAGGTCTAGAGCATACCCGGTTTATCAGCTGGTGGAGTCAGCAAGTCTCGAATTTGAGGGTCCTTGATTCCTACTGCCCACCGAAGATCAAGGGTCCTGAGAAGGGGGCAGCTGGAGGTGCTGAGGGCAGAGACTGCAGACCAGGAACAGCCCGCCAAGAGGAGGTCTTTCAGTCCTGCAATAGATGGAACAAGACAGGCACTAACATACTGTTTACCAGCACATTCAGAACCACTACTACTGGCTGTGAGGTGAATGGATTTCCAGTCTAATGGGAGGGAAGGACTATGTCCTAATCCAGTAATCCAGCTCAAAGATTTCCATGATATCCTATGTCACATCTTCTAGCTTTGGTGTTAAATTGACTGCTTAGTTCCTACCAGAGCAACAGAAGATTGGCTTGCTGTCTTTCCAAGAACTCAAAATGCTGAAGGGGACAAGGGCTTACAAGGGGCCAACTAAGGAAATACCTGACTCAAGTTTCCTCTTCAGTGGCTATGCTAAGGAGACCTGCAGGGCTGGCAGCAACACCTGATCCCAGTCTCTTTGTTGTCCAGCACACTGTTTGGCCTGCCAGTCCAAAGTGACGCCTTGGAGACTGGCAGTTAAGGTGGCCCTGGGTACATCTCTTGCTAAGCAGAAAGCAACAATGGAGACTGCTGCCCTAAAGTGATTCTAAAAAGTACTACCAACAATGCACTTGCTTTGCCTGCTCCTTCTAGGCCCCTGGAAGGACAGCAGCAAGGCTGTTCACCTACCTGGCAGCCTATTAACGAGCCATGTCAGTTGCTTTTTGGAGATGTTGGTCCAACTGAGGTCGAGGCTAACTGGTTGCCTCTTGATGATGCCACTGAGAGCTTGGGGTACAATGGCCTTACACCTACTCAAGTCAATTTTTGTCCAAAGTCTCTTGTCGCAGCACCTGTGACAGAAGGGAAAAGAACTAGCTTTCATTAACTTGATACCCTGTCAGTGGAGCTCCTATCTCAGGCTGCTGGAGGCTTCTGGGAAAAGCACAGCACCTACATAGATTCTTATATAAGTGTACAAGGATCACACCCTATCATTTTTTGCCTTAGAGAATAGGCAAAAAATTGCCTTGATCTCTACAGCCACTAGATACTTTGCAAACCTATATGCCAAGTAGTGTATAACTTGACCAGTTCACCCTGATTTACTCTGGAGGGTTTGAAAACACAATACAGTTAGCTATTAGGGACACAGAGCAAACAATATACTATAACCCCTACATCTGCATTAAAATGGCATGGCTCCTGCTGAAGTATATATATAAGGGAGCATTTAAAATTTTCTTGACTTCTTACTGCCTGAAACTACCAGGCTTGCTCCATTCTTTCCCTTGAGTCACTTGCAGCCACCTGAGATGCATGGTGCTACTGAGCACACCACAATTCAATTTGTCTTAAGGCCATTGCTGTATCAGGCCGAAAGAGGCTCTTTATCAGGCTTGGAGAGTCCTCTCCCACCCTCAAGTTTCTGCCTCTGCACTATCTTGACATTTTCTAGCTAGTCTAGACCAGAACCGAAAGGGACAGACCTGATTTTCCACTGCAGTCTATAAATCCACAGGCCACAAACAGCACTGTACTATGCAGGCTTCCGATTAATATTTTACAACCTCTGCCCCCTAGCCAGGCTTGAGTCTGGCTGGCAGGGGAAGGGGAAATAGCACATAATGGAAGTCTGATGTACCTTGGCCTAGAAACCTAGGGGTAAGAGCCAGGCAGGCCCACCAGGCCTAAAAAGAGAAATATGAAATTTGGGCCAATCACACATGAATTCAGATTTGGGAAATAAACTCATGTTTGCAAGGAATAGGGCCTTTATTTAAAAATTGAAAAAATTTTACCAATGGTACACGAAACTTCCATGGCAAAAGCAAGCAGCTGACGACAGAGCACACATCAGAACCCCCTGGGGGAGGGATTGTTAAAGCAGACTGCTGCACCCATCCACGAGGTTCTGATTCAGGAGTCCTGGGATGGACCCTGAGAATCTGCTTTTCATTTTTTCCCCAAGAACTGGTGCCATAATAAGACAATATGCATTTTTTTTTTTTTTTGATACAAAGTCTCACTCTGTTGCTCGGGCTGGAGTGCTGTGGCGTCAGCCTAGCTCACAGCAACCTCAAACTCCTGGGCTCAAGCAATTCTCCTAATCCTCTTGCCTCAGACTCCTGAGTAGCTAGGACTACAGGCATGCACCACCATGCCTGGCTGATTTTTTCTATATATTTTTAGTTGTCCAGCTAATTTCTTTCTATTTTTAGTAGAGGCAGGGTCTAGCTCTTGCTCAGGCTGGTCCCCAACTCCTGACCTTGAGCCATCCTCCCACCTCAGCCTCCCAGAGTGCTAGGATTACAGGCATGAGCCACTGCGCCCGGCCGAGAATCTGCATTTTTAACTAGTTCCCAGGGGCTGCCACTGGTCAGGATACTCTACTTTGAGAACTACTGTAATAGGGTGTGTCCCAGATATAAAGGATATATCCTAGAGTATATATTCTAGAGCTTAAGGAAAAGCCAATAATGCTAGCTGGGAAGCTCTTTCTTCACCATCACTAGGGAATTTTTTCCTAAGTGTCTGTTCAACTTGAGAAGAAACGCTAGGTCTCGTTGAGTAAGCTTCAAAACTGGACCCTGTTTGCTGGAGAACAGAATTCTGATCCAGGTTGGGGGGATGAGAAAACTGCAGAAAAAGGTAAGCACCATCAAATTCATTTTGCAAAGGATGCCCGCTTCTCTCACTGAATGGAGAGGTAACTGAGGCAGGAGCTTAAGTGTAGTTATCTATGTCATTAGCATCAGAAGAATGACTGTAACATCACAGGCTCTCAACCAACACATGAAGAGCTCAGCTGACTTGGGGGGAAATTGTCAGCCCTTAAGACTCTTAAGTTTTAGTACAAACTGTACAAATACATCCCCCAAATCAGTTTCCCTCCCCCCAGCAGAGAGAGATGGGAACGTACAGAGCAGGGAGAGGAGACAAAGCCAAATTTCCATAATGACATCTGCAGGCACAACTGGCCACATCTTTAAACAATCCAGTCATGAGAAACAGACTGGGTCAATTCACTCCTCATAGGACCCCGCAAGCCTTCAGACGGTAAGGTGCATGCTGTTCTCGTTTTGAAAACCTGCCACCTGCTCCCATGCCCCTGGCTCCTGACCCCCTGTATCCCTGCTCACCATTTATACCACGTCTTGCACACTCGCATACATTCACAAAGTTCTCTGCGGCTGAGGTAGCGGAAGACAGACATCCAGACCTCCCGCTGCATCCAGCTTTCGTCTCCATCCTGAGCCCAACTGCCCCGGCCATTCAGCCTGGCTGCACCCCCCTCCTCTGCACTGTCATCTTCCTCCTCCTCCTCCTCCTCCTCTTCCTCCTCTCCCCCCAGTCCCTCCTCATCCCCACGCTGGGGGGTTCGGGCTGGGCAGTGCTGCACTAGCACACGGGGGGAATGGCGAAGGTTGGCAGAGGAGGCCGTGATGGCCTGCAGCTTGGGCACAATGGATGTCCCGTGGAGCTCTTTGGTGGGCCTCTGTAGCGTGACAGTGAGGTACGATCCCCGGATCTTGGCTTTCTCAACTTCAGACAGCTCCTTTTTGCCGCTGGGATTGTTCTCCTTTTCCCGTACCATGGTGCGCTCTGTGGCCTGCAGCCGCAGCAACTGCCGCCGTTTGAAGCGCTCATCGCGGCTGGCACTGTGGTGGTCGCTGGGGCCAGCCCCAGGGGATGACCGAGTCACCATACCCCGGGGAGAAACCGGGTCGTGGATGAGCTGCAGCATGGAAGTGGGTGAGTGAGGCGGGGGCGTGAGGGGCTCATCGCAGCTCCGCAGGGGCCGCAGGACTTTGGCTTGCACAGCTTCTTCGTCGCTCTCTTCCATTTTCCGCTTCTGCAAAGCAGGCCCAAAAAAGCAACATCAGTGCTTCCTTTCTTCCAAACCCTCTAAACTGACAGGTGAACTCACTGTTGCACCCAGGGGACCAGAGAGAAGACAGGTCACTGATGCTAGAGGGGGTCATCCCATCGGGTCTGCAATCCGGACTGCAAAGATCAGCAACCGAGCTCATGCCTGTGCCACAGAACATGGATTACAGAACAAAAATGGGTCCCTTGGGAAATCCCTGTGACAAAAAGGTTTGTGTTCAAGTACAGAGGAGTGAGATCCAGATTTGGGCTGCCTGAATCCATACCCCACCTTATTCATCTTGTCCCTATTTCTGGATTATAATTCCCTGGGTAAAAATACCCTTCAAAGAGGCCACAACTCTACCCCTATGTAATCTGACAATTTTTAATCCTATTTCTAATTTCCCTTTTTTACCCAAGAGATGTGTCTTATTTTAGTGGTAGGTGGAAGAAAAAGCCCATATAAACTATTTGAACTAGGATGGCTAGTCTGACAGCAGTAAACACCACTGACTTCTAGCTCTACCAGTGGTCTAAGCTTGGCTCTAGCAGGTTGCTTCTTCCACTCGATGCCCCACGTGAGTGAGAACGCAGAGAACAAGAACCTTCATGAGACATGGGCTGCTACAGTAGGATCTGCTCAGGATTATGGTGAGAAATTCCACAAGAGTTCACAATCTCATCCTGTGGCACTTGTGCTTTTTCTAGACACCTGTCCTTTCCTGGAGCCTAACTTGGCTATCCCGTGACAAAGTCAATATGTTACACACTAGGAACCATATCAGTAATTCAGGGTTTTCTTTAAGGAAACAATTTATGTTCCTAGGCAACAATCCTGGTCTCTTTTTCAACTTACATTATTTGAAAACCATGGTTGGAAGAGAATGACCATCCTTTGGGTGCTCGCTTTTACAATGTATTAGAAGACAGTATTAAAGCACAGCATCTGCCAACTCACCTGCTACAACAGAGATACAAACACTCAATACCACTAGTGAAGACAAATGTAGGCCAGGTGTGGTGGCTCATGCCTATAATCCTAGCACTCTGGGAGGCTGAGGTGGGAGGATTGCTTGAGCTCAGGAGTTTGAGACCAGCCTGAGCAAGAGCGAGACACTGTCTCTACCAAAAATAGAAAAATTAACATGGTGTCATGGTGCATGCCTATAGTCCCACCCAGCTATTTGGAAAGCTAAGGCCAGAGGATCACTTGAGCCCAGGAGTTGGAGGCTGCAGTGAGCTGACACCACTGCACTCTACCCAGGATGACAGAGCAAGACTGTCACATACATACATAAAATCCACAAATGTAAAAGGTACTAATGCAAGAACTTGGGATAACCTTGGCACTAGTAAACCCCAGAGATCCTTGCCCTCAAAGACAGATTGAAAAATTCAACCACCTCTGTGTCAAGTGGGAGAAAATAAAAAGAAGATAATAAAATTCCCTTCTGCCCCCTTCCCCACTTCTGTGCCACTGCCCTGAAGGACCAACACTAGGCCAGCTACTGCATCCTGTATGTGCCCTCAGCAGGCCTTGCCTTGCTTTGCCAGGCTGAGTAACCAGAGTCCTCCTGGCCCTTTGACATTACTAGTGACCAATGGACCAGGAACCTCAGCTCCTCTGGGCCAAGGTCATGGCACTGGTCCCCTCTAGGGGAGGGGCTGCCTCTGTATGACACATTTGGGCACATGAGGTGGGCAGGGCAGGGCTTTCTGCAAGGTGAACATGACAAACATGTGAACCTGTTTGACTGGAAACTCCAGCACACCGCTGTACTTACTGTCTGCCGCAGGCCACTGCCTCCCTCTAGGTACATTCCTCAGGAGAGACCCTGCTCACCTGATTTCCCTCCTCAAACAGCCCAGCTGTGGTTCCTCTTTCTAGGGCCCCAGAATATAAAAGGACCTCAGGAGTTTGCAGATCCCAGGTGGAACAATATTTAGTAATGCAAACAAACAAAAAAACACTCTACAAACACTAACAACAAAAATACTAATAATTTACCAAAGGAAAAAAGATACTGAACAAAGAAAACAAAAATAACCTCCCAGGTCAGAGAAACTGTGAATGTATAGCAATCTCCTAAACTTGATCGTTCCTTTCTGGTCACAGTGCAAATCTGGATAAGGTTCCTTTACCTGGGCTTTCTCCGAGCTGTCTTCTTGGTAGCACTTTGGACATTCCCAGCAATTTGGCAATTCCTCGTTAAGCAATCCCTCTCCATCCATCTATAGACAGATAGAGATGTTGGGGAAAAAAAGTCTGTCTCTTAAGCCTTCTGTAACACATCTGGGAAGAGTTACCCATTTCTAAACACATTGGTCCTTAGGGGAGAAAGACTTATTTACCCCAAATGGCACTAATACCCACTCCTAGCCACTGGGAAACTGGCCACCCTCACTCTTGGTTACTTGCGTTAGGCTCTATGATGAGACTTCCAAGAGTCAGGGTCAATCTGTGGTCTCTTTTCCTGACACATACTCTCCTGGTAGTCTCATGCCAAGGTGGGCTATAGTTCTGAGAACTTGAGTGTAGAGACTAATGCTCTAGTCTCTGTGATTCAGTGTTCTCAACTGTCAAGTAGGGATATATATGATACAACTGTCAGGGATACAACAATATCCACCTTATAGGGTTGTGGTGAGAATTAAATTAATTATGTAGTATGGGAAGTATTTAGAAAAGTGCCTGGTATACAGTAAATGCTTTCTATTAACCATTGTCACCATGGAGTTAATACTGTATTTTATAAAATTCTAAGATGCCTACTTTTCACTTTTTTTTTTTTTTTTGAGACAGAGTCTTGCTTTGTTGCCTAGGCTAGAGTGAGTGCCGTGGCATTAGCCTAGCTCACAGCAACCTCAAACTCCTGGACTCAAGCAATCCTTCTGTCTCAGCCTCCCAAGTAGCTGGGACTACAGGCATGCGCCACCATGCCCGGCTAATTTTTTCTATATATATGAGTTGGCCAATTAATTTCTTTCTATTTATAGTAGAGACAGGGTCTCGCTCTTGCTCAGGCTGGTTTCGAACTCCTGACCTCGAGCAATCCGCCCGCCTCGGCCTCCCAGAGAGCTAGGATTACAGGCGTGAGCCACCATGCCCGGCCCTACTTTTCACATTTTAATCTTTCTGAATTTTCTCATAATTGACAGTGTATATAATCATTGTTAGCCAGGTGACAGTCATAATATAGTTGAGACTTTCTGGAAAGGCCAGGAAAGTACCAGCACTCATGCACTTTAAAGAAATATGAAGAAATATAGAAGATCCAACTTCACAGGGTTCTCTATTTAAAATGTAAACAGAGAATGCATGTGTAACAGTTCTCCACCAGGCTGCACATTAGGATCACCTGGGGAGTTTTAGCAACACAGGGCTCATACTGGGCCAGTTAACTCAAATCTCTGAGACTGAGGTCTAAACTTCCTTATTACTGTTTTTGAACTCCTGGGGTCTGCACTGAGCCTGACACAGATGAGCACTCAATAAATGGTAGCTGATATTATTACCCTCACCATCCCTCAGAACCAATACCCAGAGATACACTGAAGTATGTAGCAGAGATGGCTAAAGGCTTCAGGCTCCCCAAAACACACCATGCAGTTCTATGATGGCCTGGGGACTCCAGACACACTGTCCAGAGGTCAGACTGTAAACTCCACGAGGGCAGGAACTAGGTCTATTTTGTGTATTGTTCTATCTTCAGTCTAGCACAGTGCCTGACACATTGTAGATATTTGAATCAAGGGCTGATGTTAGACCATTCTACTACATGACCATGGAGCTAATGGCCCACAGTAGGGATGCTGGCAGCCTCCTGTGACAGGTGTCCTACTCTCCTGTTGCTCCACTCAGTATCTTTTAGATACTATCAGCTGAGACTTAAGGGACCTCTTAGGCCTTTCCTCACCTGAAGGCAGCCAGGATGAACAATCTCATTGCAGATACAGCATTCCATGAGTTTCTTCTCAAAGTCCTGTGTCTCCTCATTCTGATCCACCTCTCCACAGAGGGAACATGTGACTGAGTGAGGCAGTCTGGGCTACAAGAGGACAAAAATAGAAAAACCAAGACGGCAGACTTAGATCCTTATCACTTCAACTTCCCCTAAACTGAAGATGGGAGTTTTGGTTCTTGTAGTTCTCTAGTAAACATTTAGGGAGCCATCAAGGCAGGGTGGAAAAGAGAGAGGGTTTTGGTAGAAGACGACTGATGACTCAACTACCTCAGCACTCGAGACCAACAGAGACCAGTTGTTTTCAGTTGGCCTGTCCTTGGCCTCACAGGTCCTTTCTAATCTACTTAAAGAGGGGAAAGAGGGTAGTGATTTGCCCCTCAAATGCTGCTCTATTGTTTGAAAATTAGGCAAGTAAGGCCAAAAGACCAAATTAGACCATTTTTAGTATTAGACACCTTCCTTCTTTACCCAGGGAGAAAAGGGACAAAATGAAGAAACCTAAAAAGAGGGCATAATTTTTTATTTCCAACTCTGAACTCTCTTTAACTCTACACTATGCATATTTCAGTCTCTTTGACACCACAAGTCTTCCCCCAAATCTTTACCCAAGCAGATTACTCACTGCCAAGCACTGTCGGAGGACACAGGACTGCTTCATGCGTCCAGGCCCTCCAAACTTCTTCATGTCCCTGCAGTAGTGGCAAACACCACACTCTCCTTGCACACAGGCTTTGCATTTCCGACATCTCACTCGTCTCCGCCTGGCTCCTGACACAATGGGGGAGGCAGCAGCTGGCCTCACAGGTGTTAACCGTGGAGCTGGTTTCATAGTGTGAGGCTTTGTGATGGGGATGGTAGGAACCCGCACCTTTGGCCGGGTGGGGAATTTAAGCTGGAAAGAGAAAGCAGTGAGGTCAAACATATCAGGTTACTTACGACTGAAGAGGGTAGAAGATTACATGGTAGGGTACCTAGCCCAGGGCATAGCAAACTATGGCCTGTGGGCAAATCTGCCCATTGCTTGTTTTTATAAATAATTTTTATTGGTATAAACTTATTTGTTTATGTATTGTCTATGGCTGCTTTCATGCTACAATGGTAGAATTGAGAAGCTATGACTGTATGGTGTACAAAACCTAAAATATTTACTATCTTGACCTTTACAGAAAAATTTGCCAGCCCCCCGTCCTAGACCTTTGGCCTACTAATTCAGCCACATCCCTTTCATTTTGCAGAGCTGTCATATTCACCCCTCTCCGAAGCTTTCTGTGTAAGTGCCATGTGCTGACGTCACCCCTGGGGCCCTCCAATATTTCCTTACCCTGACTACTCAGAATATACTCTAAACAAGACAGTCAACTACTCAAGGGTGAAACTGGTTTTGTCCATTTCTTTTTTTTTTTGAGACAGAGTCTTGCTTTGTTGCCCAGGCTAGAGTGAGTGCCGTGGTGTCAGCCTAGCTCACAGCAACCTCCAACTCCTGGGGCTCAGGCAATCCTGCTGCCTCAGCCTCCCGAGTAGCTGGGACTACAGGCATGCGCCACCATGCCCAGCTAATTTTTTGCATATATATTAGTTGGCCAATTAATTTCTTTCTATTTATAGTAGAGACAGGGTCTTGCTCTTGCTCAGGCTGGTTTCGAACTCCTGACCTCGAGCAATCCGCCCGCCTCAGCCTCCCAGAGTGCTAGGATTACAGGCGTGAGCCACAGCGCCCGGCCTGTTCATTTCCTTAGTACGCCAAATCCAAGCATACGACCTGGTACACAGCAAACACTCCAATATTTAAGTGTGGAATAAATCTCTCAGTTATATGTTTGTCATTTTAGCATTGGTATGTACCCTGCAAGTGATGTTTTCAAGGACAAGCATCATGTCTTCTACTTCAATTTCCCACCATGTCTTAAACACTTTTTTGACACAAAATACTCAATAGCCAGAAATGACTGAATTGTTTTGAGGCTGTCCCCTGTGGCCATGCAGAGGCCAAATGGGACTCCTCCCCCTAGGAAGGCAAAGGTGGTTCTTTAAAGATATCATTTAGCTCCATACCTTTATCTTCTGCCTAAACACTCTAAGGATGTGATGGCTTTGCAAGTTTCAGCTTTGGAACAAAGAGGGGCCTAATTTATTTGCCAAACTCATGGCCAGGATCACAATGCTATCATTTATTTAATACGTAACCTTGACAGAGGACAGTATGGAAAAATATTATATATGACCTAAATGGGAAATGAAATAGAAATTCATAACTGAAAATGTATTAGCTGATGGTAATTCCATTCTTCTCTTTCTAATTACAGACTGAAAAGTCCAAATAAAGAGGAATCTTGAGAGTATGATCTCACCATGACAAAGAAAAATTCTGGTCTTTTAGATATATATGTACTTATTTTAACTAGTTTTAAATCATATCTGTGAAGATAACTGAGTCACTGGGTCAGAAGGATAGGAGCTGATCCATGTTGGTGAACAAATGGGCAACCTGGCATCTGATTCTAGAGGGAGGCCTCCCAGTTTGATAGTTCTTTTAAGAGAGTCACCTCCAAAGATAGCCAATTACCCTGACCTAAGAGTCAAAACAGAACTGAGTAATGATTTTCTGTCAGTTTGTATCAATGCGCCAGAAGCCATCTGCCTCGAGTTCTTTTTCTTCCTGGAATAGTAATGACCAACTAGCAAAAAGCTTGAGCAGCCTGAAGATCAAGCAGAATAGTTTCTTACCTTATCCCTTTTTGGCCACTGTACTATGGGGACTCCAGTGAGGGCTAACTTGGGATCACTGTTGGCAAGCTCTTCCAGCAAAATCTGAGGGTAGAAGAGGAGAGAAAGAAAAAGCAGGGCACAGTGAACAAAGAACCAACTACTCTCAACAGCATCTAGACTCAGCTTTAGTTCCTTCCCTGAAGCACCCAGGGAAGCAGGCTGGCAACTATCTCTATTTTCCCTTCATACAGACTCACTGCAAAATAAGCAAATCAAAAATGAAAGAGAAAACTCAAACTTAAACTGCTGCAGTACTATCAAGTTTGAACTTACCTTTGCTCCCAACCCCTTACTTGTATACTCACTGTACTAACACACGGAAGCCACTAGCTATTGGAGTGACAAGTGTTACTTATACAGTTGTCTATATGACAGTAAGACTAAAAATGACTGGCTAATATGGAATTAATGAGATCAACAGCAAAGCCTTAATCTCCTGATTCAACTCAGGACTCTGTTTTTCTAAGGTTGATTACAGAAACCCCGGTCTCAAATCTCTGTTTCTCTCATTCTGTCACATACACACATACACGTACAGTCCTCTTTTTGACTTTATTCCTATAAATGGGGCAGAAACGATCTTAGGAGCAATAGTTCTCGTGGCTTTAACCAATCAAGTCTGAATGACTTAGGAACAATGCTACAGTAAGAAACTGCCACTTAAGTGAATCATACTGGCTGTTATTCTAAAACAAACCTTTTATGTTTTAGACAGAAATTTCTGAAGCCCAAACCTTCTTCTAGCATATGAAATCCCTTCTTCTGACCTCACGAACCCTAAAGCAACATCAACAGCAAAAGAACTCAAATCTGGGGGCCAAATTACACCATTCCCTTTCTAGTTGCCTTAGGTATGTACAGGATAGTAACTTTTTCACAAAAACTAAACTTTGATTCTGAAAAGGGTAGCAAGGCTGGGCCACCTTTAGTGACTGTTCTCATAACCCTGTGTGTTCTGTGCCCGCAGACAGGATTTTTAAGTATTTTCATGCTCCAAATGCCCAGAGTTGGGACTTGGAAAGACCCTTTAACTCATACCTAAGAAGCTCCTCTATGGAGATCCCTTCTTGCCAAGTCTCCAGATGCCTTTCACCATCCCCCAAACTAATTTCAATTTCATTTGCAGACGTTTTATTTACTTCAAGTTGCTATGGCATCCTTTTCTGGAGCCTCCTGTTAGCACCATACTGCGTAGGGGTGAAGAGGCGGGGTGTGGTGCCACGTGGGACAAAGCTCTGGTATGGGCTCCTAATCTCCCTGGGGTGAAAAATTCAAGTCCATTCAAAATGTGTGCTAGGGAGTGCACGGCTCCCCTCCCCCACTTCGCACTGCCGAGGAGTAGGACTCTGCCCATTTCCTCTGCCGAAGAGAACTGAGCTGTCCACAAACAGGGACTTTCCACTTTCAGCAAAACAGACTGCACAGTAAGACCTGCGATTGTTTAAGAGTAGAAGAGGAACTTAACTATTCACCAAAAGCCGTCTAATTCTACCTGCAAGATTTTTTGTGGCGGGGACAGGGAATGGTAGGCAGAAAAACTGTGTGGAGGTGCATGTGTGGGGGCAGCTGTTCACACATAACACGACTCAGTTACTGGGGTATGTGTGGGTGTGGAGGGAAATGCAGATTTCCTTCCAAGCCTTATTTTGCTGGGGCCATTCAACCAAGCACGCTTTGCTTTTATCAAAAAAGGCAGACTCCAGCTGAGGCCCTACAAGAAACCATATAAAGAAGCCACCACCCTTCACCAGAGGGGGTTTGGGATGGGGGAGCGGGGGTGGAGTGTGGGAAAGGCTGACGCCTATCTAGGCTCCAGGCATTCGGGAGAACATTCAAACACAGGCCCACACCCTACAGATCACAGGAAGGGAAAAAAACAGAGGGCGCCTGGGCAGAGGGGGAAAGGATTCCGAAAAGCCAAGCAACCCAATTCAAAAGCACATCCCACCAGGTGAGGGAACAAGTGCAATGACGGCTCAAGCAACACGAAGTAATGTAAGCATTGTCCTGGACTCACCCGGCAGGCAGTTCTTCTGCCTCTTTGCTGAGACAAAAGTCCCTACAGTTACACACACTCCAAACCAGAAAGGGTTTGCCAACCGACGGCCTGACCTTTCGTTTTTCGTCGCTCTGGAGCTGCCGAGGCTCTTGGGTGAAGTTTCCCCAGCGTCTTTGTTTTGTTTTCTGTATTGGAAGTTGTCCTGAAGGAGTTAGCTTTTCTGCCTCTAAGAAAATCCTGATTTACTTGAAAATTCTGAAATCTCCCAGAGCACATAAGGCAGGACAGTCCAGCTCTAACCCTTCAGGCTTCCCAGAGGGAGCAGCGTGCAGCGCTCTGGGCTCCTTCTCAAGCCCTTCAGCTCAGCCGCGGCTTCCTGTGCCTGCGAACAATGCTGCTGCGTCACCCACATGCAGCTCCCAGAAATGCTTTGCAACGGAAGATGGCAGGAGGGGGAGCAGAGCTCGAGTGAGCCAGCCAGGCAGACGGCCCAGCCGTTCTGCTGCAGAGCTGGGAGGGGGTGTGTTCGGCAACTGCTCTCTTCTTCGCCATTGGAAGAGGCCCTGCCGGGGAGGGGAGCTCAGCCACAGCCCCCGCCCCGTCTCCCTCCCATCACCACTGCAATAGGAGAAGCCAGGGCCAGCCCCCAGAGGGCTCCGGTGGCAGACTTCTGAAGGCGCCAGCAAAAGGGAAGGCTTTAACTCATTCTGCAGACTACACTTAGGCACCTTGGCCCACATTTGTCCTTGTCTCAGTCCACACCCTTCCCCTCAGGGTCACCTCTTATTGTTACAACCAGAGCTCTCTCCCAGGCTGCACACACATATTTCTTGCTCCCCTCTTGGCAAACACAGGGCATCGCCCAACGTCCAGCCTTTTTAGCAGAAGCACGCACCGGAGCTGAACTCCTGAGCTACCATCTCTCGCCCAGCACACTGCCTGCTTCATCTCCCTCACTGACGCTCCCAGCCCACCATGCAGAACCAGCCTGAGTGTTCCAGAAAAACCTTCAGAAATGGCAAATTCCAGTCAATACTGAGATATTCAATAAAATACGGCCATCTCATATTAGCTACGTCTAAAACAGTTGCCTGCCTCTGGTTCCAACAAGGAATTCCACCACAGTACAGTACTAGAAATGTCTATGCAGCAATCCCTGAGCAGTTTGAGCTTGACCAACTCAAACAGCTGAGGTCCAACCTCAGGTCCACACATTTTATGGTCCTACCTCTAAACAAGGTGCAGGAAACCAGGGCCATCAGATGACACCACCCTCAGGGTACCAATACTCCCAGATTTCCATTTCCACTCAAGTCTGTTTTGCCTGCCTCATTCTTGACATTCCCCAGATGGAGCAGCCAGTTCTGCATCCTGTCAGACACCTCACTGCCATTTTTTTTTTTTACAACCACTTGATTGACACATGTTGCTCACACCTCTATGCACCAATCCTGGCCAGGGTAAAGCTCTGACTGAACACAAACTCTCTTCTGGCTACAGGAGAAAGGGAAGGTGCAGTATTGGCCGGGATTCCAGTGATCTACAGTGTACCAAACTACAGGGTACCAAACGTCAGCATGGGAGAAACTCGGTAGGAACAGAAGCCTAACCAGCAGTTTGGGTCTGAATTTATATAATTTTTAGATCCTCACAAATATATCTTGTCTTTCTGCAGATGCTGCTTTGACATAAACATCTAGCTCTTACCACTGGATGCATTCTTACTTATGTCCAGGATAGTTGTTTCAGTGAGTTTCTTGTAGAGATTTGTGGCCTAACAAGCTTTCTGGGGTCTGGGCACTTTCTGGGCACTTTACTGCCAAGTGCTGCATATGTTAATTTTTACAGTAGTTGACCAAGGGAAGGAGGGACTTCACTGCTCTTGGTTGAGCTCTTCCTGAAAATGCTTATATGTTTATCCTAATCCTAAACCTCTCCCTTGCACATTAAGACTCAAAGACCTAGTGCAATCAGCTTATTTTGTTTGAAAAGCTTTCCTTAACAGTGATCTAGCTAATGAGAGATCTTCTTTGGAAAATGCTTATTTGTCTTCAGTGCTATCTAACCTAGAAGGATAGTGAAGAACAAATACTTTTTTTTTTTCTTGAGACAGGGTCTCACTTCTCTTGCCTGGGCTAGAGTGCCATGGCATCAGCTTAGCTCACAGCAACCTCAAACTTCTGGACTCAAGCGATCCTCCCGCCTCAGCCTCCCGAGTAGCTGGGACTACAGGCATGCGCCACCATGCCCGGCTAATTTTTTCTATATATTTTTAGTTGGCCAATTAATTTCTTTCTATTTTTAGTAGAGACGGGGTCTTGCTCTTGCTTAGTCTGGTCTCGAATTCCTGACCTTGAGCGATCCTCCCACCTCGGCCTTCCAGAGCGCTAGGATTACAGGCTTGAGCCATCACACCCAGCCAAGAACAAATACTTAATAGAAACATGTTACTCCAAAACAAATACAAGTTCAAGTTGTAGAGAATACAAATTCTAGAGGCCACCAGGGAAGGACAAAAGCCAGATAGGGCGCTAAGAAAATCACTCCTAGTAAGTTTCCAAATCACAAATTAAACAAACCCTAATTTCCCCCCTACATTGATGCAGAATAAAAGAATACAGGCGACAAAGATAAGACCATATTATACAATACAGGAATATGATGAAAATATTTTATTTTATTTTTTTGAGACAGAGTCTCACTTTGTTGCCCAGGCTAGAAGAGTGAGTGCCGTGGCGTCAGCCTGGCTCACAGCAACCTCAATCTCCGGGCTCAGCGATCCTACTGCCTCAGCCTCCCGAGTAGCTGGGACTACAGGCATGCGCCACCATGCCCGGCTAATTTTTTGTATATATATTTTTAGTTGGTCAATTAATTTATTTCTATTTTTGGTAGAGACAGGGTCTCGCTCAGGCTGGTTTCGAACTCCTGACCTTGAGCAATCAGCCCGCCTCGGCCTCCCAAAGTGCTAGGATTACAGGCATGAGCCACCACGCCCGGCCCGAAAATATTTTAAAGAATTATATATATTTTAACTTAACCT